CTCTTACGGATTCGATTCATTCCTTGAAGAATTTACATCAAACATGAGAAACTGATAAAATACTATGATATCTCGGCCGATTTTAAGGATTGTTGACATAAGGCCAAGGTCCCTGTTATTAGCAGCAGCTACATTTCGTAATAAAGTTTTATTAAACTTCAGACACGTGTAAAGGACATTTTTTTGTAAAATATCTTGAGCAAGTTCAAGTTTCCTGGTTGTGAGGACAAGGTCAAGGTCACCGTTACTAATTTTAGAACATCTTTGTTTCCATTCTGGTGGTTTCATTCATCGACGGATTATGATAAATCATTCAACAGTTCTAAGGGACCATAATGTCTCGGACGAGTTTAAGGTTCAAGTCTGTAGGGTCAATGTCAAGATCACTTGGCTATTTTTAGACAATCCTTGTCAGCACTCAAATGACTTTATTTTTGAGGAATTCTTAACAAACTTAACACATGTTCGCTTTGCCATCTTTCATCAGTGAAGGTAGAAGCGCGAGGGGACTTGTATTGATTGTAATATGTTATTGATAAGTTGTAAAGTGGCTGGGGGCAGACAGCATTATTCACATCCGTTCCATTACACATTGATGATGAAGGTTAATTCTAATTTATGATAATGATTTGTGTGATCAAATATAATTCGCTTAAGGCAATCTTACGTCACAGCAGAGGAATGAACAAAACATTATTAAAGAACTTTATATTTCATGTAGAAAACACGCGTTCTTTTGTGACAAAATACATAAATATAATCTTAATAATTAAAAAAGCCATTAATAACCATTTCATAGTTAGCATGTACGAAAGAAATTGGCTGAAAAAAGACAATCGATTTAAAACTTGCCTGCTCTAAAACTAAATTTTCTGTACAGACAATACCGCACCAGGATAATTGATTTTCAAGACTTGTTGATTAGTTTTCTACCAAGAGTGGTACTAAATATGATTAAACACAGTTGCCATGGTAACTGTAAATGTTGTTTACGTTTAACTATCCAATAAGATAAACGGTAAAGAACTCTTTGTGGAGATCTCGTCATCGCTCTCGGAGGTGACACCCATCAATTTTCTCAAGCATACTAGTTCGTAATATTGTTCACAGATTTCGAAAGACATCAATACTATGTCAATTAAAATTCTTTATCTGACAGAGGAAATATCTGTTTTCTCCTGTAAATGGATATTTCCTTGTTGTCTGATTGGTGGTTCAATAACCTCTCTATAAATTCTCAGCTAAATTCCTTAATACATTCGTAATACATTGCTTGCTTGTCTTATTTCTCTTTCCAAAGTAATAGTGAGTATTATTTCTCAGAAAGGTGGGGTTGGTACTATTGAAATTAGACCTGTGTTCCGAAAATCAAAGTTGGTACAAGTAGTCCAGAAAGTTTGTTCCGGTTGGAACACAAAGTCTAATGTGGTACACAGAAAGTCAGGTTTGGTACACAGAAAGTCAGGTTTGGTACACAGAAAGTCATTGTTGGTACACAGAAAGTCATTGTTGGTACACAGAAAGTCAGGTTTGGTACACAGAAAGTCAGGGTTGGTACACAGAAAGTCAGGTTTGGTTCACAAAAAATCCGAGTTGGTACACAGAAAGTCCGGGTTGGTGCACAGAAAGTCATTGTTGATACACAGAAAGTCAGTTTTGGTACACAGAAAGTCAGGTTTGGTACACAGAAAGTCAAGGTTGGTATACAGAAAGTCCAGGTTGGTACACAGAAAGTCCGGGTTGGTACACAGAAAGTCAGGTTTGGTACACAGTAAGTCAGGTTTGGTACACAGAAAGTCCGGGTTGGTTCACGGAAAGTCAAGTTTGGTTCACAGAAAGTCAGGGTTGGTTCACAGAAAGTCAAGTTTGGTTCACAGAAAGTCAGGGTTGGTACACAGAAAATCCGAGTTGGTACACAGAAAGTCCGGGTTGGTGTACAGAAAGTCATTCTTAATACACAGAAAGTCAGTTTTGGTACACAGAAAGTCCGGGTTGGTACACAGTAAGTCAGGTTTGGTACACAGAAAGTCCAGGTTGGTACACAGAAAGTCAGGGTTGGTACAAAGAAAGTCAAGTTTGGTACATAGATATTCAGCGTTGGTACACAGAAAGTCCGGTTTGGTACACTGTTAGTCAGGTTTGGTACACAGAAAGTCCGGGTTGGTACACAGAAAGTCCGGGTTGGTTCACGGAAAGTCAAGTTTGGTTCACAGAAAGTCAGGGTTGGTTCACAGAAAGTCAAGTTTGGTTCACAGAAAGTCAGGTTTGGTACACAGAAAATCCGAGTTGGTACACAGAAAGTCCGGTTTGGTACACAATTAGTCAGGTTTGGTACATAGAAAGTCCGGGTTGGTACACAGTAAGTCAGGTTTGGTACACAGAAAGTCCGGGTTGGTTCACGGAAAGTCAAGTTTGGTTCACAGAAAGTCAGGGTTGGTACACAGAAAATCCGAGTTGGTACACAGAAAGTCCGGGTTGGTGCACAGAAAGTCATTCTTAATACACAGAAAGTCAGTTTTGGTACACAGAAAGTCCGGGTTGGTACACAGAGAGCCCTAGTTGGTACACAGAAAGTCCGTTGTGGTACACAGAAAGTCCGGGTTGGTACACAGTAAGTCAGGTTTGGTACACAGAAAGTCCGGGTTGGTACACAGAAAGTCAGGTTTGGTACACAGAAAGTCAGGTTTGGTACACAGAAAGTCAAGGTTGGTATACAGAAAGTCAAGGTTGGTACACAGAAAGTCAGGTTTGGTACACAGAAAGTCAAGGTTGGTACACACAAATTCCGGTTTGGTACAAAGAAAGTCATGGTTGGCTTACAGAAAGCTAGATTTAGTATACAGAAAGTCAGGGTTGGTACACAGAAATCTCTTTTCAAAATTAATAATGTCATTTTGAAAATCTGGAATATTGTTGATTATGCTATCGTCTCTCAAGGTTAACATTGGTGACGTCGTTTCTCAGTGAAATAGCATAAGAATTGGTAATTGTCTATTTAACTGTATCTTTGTTGTATTTTTTTAGCTGAACCTGGTGTAAACTGAAGACAGAATGTCATTATCGTGTACGCATGATATATTACACATAGCTAAAACCTTATAAACGACCCCTTACTTGCCCAGTTTCAATTCAATAATAGAATATATACACCAAATCGATTACCATTTCGTACGAACATTGGCACTTGAGACATAGAAAACCAGTCATATTAGCGATAGAGAGCCGACTAAGACAGCAGGGGGTAACACTCACTAGTATTTCCTGATGGGAGTAGAGTGCGCACCAGCGGACTCCAGGCTTCACACGGACTAGGGTGTGAAAATGTCCACCACGTCATTCGAAATATGCAATGTATGTTGTCTTTGAACGTTTTAATGTAATTTGGAAATGGAAAGGGACAAGGCACTGTGTCGTGAATCAGATTCCCAGTAGCTGTAACACAGCGCCGCTGTGTATTCCCGGCGTCTCGGGGAAAGGTTATCAATGTTATACCGTAGCAGTGCACATGTAACATAGGGAACCATCAGATTGTGTAGCTACATACATACTGTATAAAGGATACAGAAAAAGATACTATAACACTTGATTATGAACATTTGTGATTATTATACAAGGTTTTCTTCTAGATCGTCCCTGGAGGTATGCTTTGATATAGTTCCAACAAAATCAGTGAATACAAATATAACTTTCCACGATACCCAAACAATACACGACGGTATGTTTTTTTACTTCACTAAAGAAAAACCAGCAAAGACAGAGTTTTATTGAGGGAAAAAGACGCATCAATTAAGATTATAGTACGAGACTGGTGGTGTCAGAACAATGCTTGTCTGGAATGATGAAAATTGGTGTTGATTTTTAACGTAAGCCGGTAATAAGGACATCGTAATCATCAGCGTGGGTTCTCCAGGGAACCGGAGGATGTAAAACTCCGTCGTATTCTTCATTTACGATTCCACCAAATAATGGCCGAAGCCTTGACGAAGTGATTTAATCTAGTGCTGTACATGCCGATGAAGCAACAAACCTCCATGCATATTACAGCCGGACAGAAGCGGGACCAGGCTTACTAGTAATTACCTCCAGGATTCGGTAAGGACAAGGAGGGTCCTGCCGGATCTTATTCAATGTTTACACAGAATAAGGCATAGATTTACTAAGTGCACTTACTGGATCGGGCGAGTTTTATTGGTGTATGTTAATAACCATTGTCTGCAACTAATCGTATGAGTTAATTCATGGATTTAACCTTTGCTGTAAACCAGCGTTGGTATTAACTCAACTCGCTATACCAAGTAGGGATCGTCCATCAGTGAAAAGACAATAGGTGCTCACGAGAATGATCAAAATGGGGATTATTTTCGAAATATTCCGATATATCTATATGGGCAATTCAATTAATTAATTGGACAATATATAAGCTTGTCTGTCAAAGTAGCTAGCCATCGTTAGACCAAGGCGGCAGATTCCGTTGAGAGCCATCACACAGACCGACACATAACGTTATCACTAGGGTCAAGGAACACTACTATCAAAAGAGGCGTGAATACTGACCAGCGACTCCTTTCTGGGTGGGAATTTGTGACGTGTGATACGGATGAAATCTCCTTTATTTGGTTGACCATCAAGGTCCGTGATTCCAAGATTCGTGACTTGTTTTCCAGGAGTATCATCGATGTCCCTAGTGTAAGGTTCCGGGTATAATTTCTTATTCCCGGAGTATCCGGAATGTCCAAAGTGTAAGAATTGGGGACGGATGTCTGATTTCCGGACTATCCTCAGTGTACCCAGTGTAAGGAATAATACAAACGTCCCTAATTTAATTTGTCAGATTCCTGGTTCCCGGAGTATTTACAATGTCCCTAGTGTAAGATTTGGTTCCTATTTTCTCGTCTGATCCTCGGAGTTTTCTCAATGTGCCCATTATAAGGATTTGTGTTTAATTTCTTAATCAACAATGCACTAGTAAAAGGGTTTGTCTCTGATTTCTGACGTGTTTCCCGGAGTAGCCTCAATGTTCCTCTAGTTCCCGGATTATCCTCAGGGTTCCTAGTACCAACATGTTGGACTGGATAGTCAACACGAAGTTAAAGGCACGAGTGTGGCGATCCATCACTAAAAGTAAGTGTAACAGACAACCTTAATAACGCTGATAAAAACTTAAACGGACATAAAATTGAGCGAAAAATTTACCCCCTCCCCCTTGCATGGAATCTACACAAAACACACAACATGATAATAATGAGAACTATAAAGTCATCTATTTTCGTGCGGCTCAAATTATGTGGTTTTCCAAATATATACATTTTCGTTGGACTTTCATCTCGTGGTAAAATCTTTATCAGAAATCTACTGGTACTATATTTTTTGTCAATATTTTTTCTTTTTATGATTAAGAGAACCCATTAATGAAACGGATATATTTCCCCCACCAAAAGTAACGATTTTATAGACTATTGTCGAATTAAAACAACTTTTCCACACACACACACACACACACACACACACACACACACACACACACACACACACACACACACACACACACACACACACACACACACACACACACACACACCCTCACACACACACACACACATATATATATACACACACACACACACACACACATGCATATTTATGTATATTAATTCCAGAACGGAAACATCTATTATCGTTATACATGTAAGAGAACACATAAAACATTTACGTATTTACAATCGTCTAAAATTAATTAGTAGAATATGTGTTACCTACTTATTATTACAATTCTTTCTTTGGGACAGAATCTCACACAACTTCTTTAACACAGACAGGTTAACTCAAGACATAAAATATTGCAAACAAAAAAAAAAAAAAAACAAAACAAAATTAAACGTGTAGATAAGAGGACAATAAGTGCTTTAAAGGTTGTATAAGAAATTCATTAACTGTGATGAATTTGACTGGGTATAGAATTCCTTATGACAATTTCCGCATTATGCCTTACATTATCAACATGTTGGTAAGCCATTTTGATTACTACATGTGTTGCCCTGTAGGTAGGACGTACGAATCGTACACCGTTACACGATGGTTAGAAGTCACCAAATATAGCATCCTACTATATTTTACTTTCTTATTAACAATTTTTCCAAGCGTCTACCTCGGCAAACGCTGTCTCGCTTTTGGCCTTTGATGTACCAAAGTCTTTTAAAATTGTAGTAACATCCTTCTTAACGCTCATCATTTATAAATGTGGTAGTGTAACGACTGGTTCACCCGTTGTCAGTATAAAGTGATCTGATGAGGTGTCCTGCTTAGGGTCTTCGACAGTATAGTTCAGTGTGATAACACTATATATAACTCGATGTCACTTTCGCAATATCGCAAGGAGGCTTACAGTTACAACCTCCCACAAACACACGTAAGCATGACATGCATTCACTTCACAAGCACGGAATGTCTGCCATTAAATGACCATATATATTAACAGGACGTTAAACGATATCAAACCGAACCATATATAGGCATGGCTTGCTGACTCGTGTATCAATTTAATGTTAATTAGACGATCCAAATATAATTCTTCTTTTTCTCCTGACGAAGAAAATAGTTTTCTTCCTGATAAATTAATTAGCAATAATTATCCCAAACATAGTTTAATGCCCAAACAAAATCTGCGATTTTATTCAAATCAGGCTAGCATGGTAACAGACAAAAATTGATTGAGATACTTAATTTATCCCTGAAGGAGTTGGTCAACATATGGATATATTCCTACAGTAATCACTGCATTATTGCTGATGAAATTATTGGTAATCTTATCTTGGTCAATGCTTGTGAAATTGACATCGACTTTTGTCACTAACGATATTTTCCGAGGCCTTCCTAATCACAATTTGCCGTGACGGAAATCGATCACAGCAAAACAATCCCTACAAAATATACGAATTTATGACAAGATGGGTGATAATTTAATATACTTTTCAGGTCGAATTCTGGTTTTGTGCTAATCTTCGATCAGTTTTATTTTTTCGTTCGTAACTTGTTTTTTAGGTGTGGTAAGTCCAAGCGAGGACAACAAGAACGTTAAAGCGCACAACGTGTTTTAGCACGTCTAAAAATAGACCTAACAAATCGTGGTCAGATCACACAGTATTTGTACTAATTCCACAAAATGTAAACAGTTGATTCTCAATGTTTTAAAACTATGATTTAAACTTAAAAGTCTAGTGGTGCAAAGAGCTTAACATAACAAACATTCACTACATCCTATTAGTTTGATTCTAACCATTTACGAATCGAGACTAGTCTGGTTTTAAATATTTAAAACCATGCACGTGTACCAGAAAACCTGTTCAAACATATTGTAGAAACAACGAGAAATGTGCCAACAGAATGTCTGTGTCTACAAGTTAGTACTTTTTTGCAAAATCTTATTTTTGTGACTGGCCTGGAGATCTGTCTAGGATATTTGATCCATGTCTAGTATTTGATTTCAGGTAAGTGTACGGTGTATTGGAGTCCGGACTGCAAAGCGTCCTTGTTTCGGGTGATGGTTGTTAATCGAGATCATTATTTTTTTCTTTACACTCTTATGACTGGACCATCTTATATGGATACACGTATCCTAAAACGGGAAGTTGATTATAAGGTTAGGAAAGAGTGGTTAGAGGTGTTCTGAAAAATTGTCATTGTGGTATAAATGCTGATATGACTTTTCCTTGTTGAGATTGGCCATCATAAGGGAGACCTGTACCCCCATTGTTGCTCCCTGCTGAGATTGGCCACTAAGGGGGAGACCTGTACGCGCGTTGTTGCTCATTCCTGAGGTTGGCCAGTATGGGGGAGGCCTGTACGCGCATTGTTGCTCCTTCCTGAGGTTGGCCATTATGGGGGAGGCCTGTACACGCATTGTTGCTCATTGCTGAGGTTGGCCATTATGGGGGAGGCCTGTACACGCACTGTTGCTCATTGCTGAGGTTGGCCATTATGGGGGAGGCCTGTACGCGTATTGTTGCTCCTTCCTGAGGTTGGCCATTATGAGGGAGGCCTGTACGCGCATTGTTGTTCCTTGCTGAGATTGACCATTTTGGGGTAAGCCTGTACGCGCATTGTTGCTCCCACCTGAGGTTGGCCATTATGGGGGAGGCCTGTACGCGCATTGTTGTTCCTTGCTGAGATTGGCCACTAAGGGGGAGACCTATACGCGCATTGTTGCTCCTTGTTGATGTTGACCACCATAGGGGGAGAGGGGGGACTTGTACGCACATGGTTGCTCCTTCCTGAGGTTGGCCATTATGAGGGAGGCCTGTACGCGCATTGTTGCTCTTTGTTTAGACTGACCACCGTGGTGGAGACTTCTACGCGTATTGCTGCTCCTTGCTGAGATTGGCCATTGTGTTGGAGACCTGTACGTCCTTGTTTCAGCTGGAATATCTTGCTGTCTTGAATAAAATACTTGTTTAAAAACCCCTTTCCAATGAGAGCGCCGTTATTTTTCCCCATCCAAGTTTCACAATTTCAAAATAAGTAGTAAGTTCTGAATTTGTTCAGAGAAATAAATCTGGATAGTTACGTCCCTTGTACAACGTATATCTAAAGCCAGCTCTTGGTTCAAATGGCTGTATTTGTTTTAACAACGTATATAAGCTATAATGGAGAAAAGTTATGATTAAATTAAGCTATCCTTGGGTTTTTTTATTTTCAATTTTGTAACACGTTTTTTCCCCAAATTTAATGTTATGAGGCCTATTCCCAACGTAATTGAAAAGACCATAGTTCACTACATTCTATAGGCGGGAACTGTCACCCTCCAATATATACCACCTCACTATCATGACCTTGACCTTCATATGAACACTTTAATGATGTATTGTTGTGTGTTTCCCCGAAAGGTCTGTACCGAAAGGTGTGTAATTTCCCCTTAATGAACATTCATTCGGAACTCCACCTGGAACACAGTAAAACTAACTGTGGGTCACCTCGTACAGCTGTCTCCGTTGCTCCAAGTCTACAGACTTACATCTATATATCGGTACTTACTCTCTTTGCCGACGTACGTAAGACGGTACTGACAGGTGCACTCTGAGAAAATATATAAAAAGAGCACAGGAAACATCAAAAAGTCTTCATTATGAAACGGATATAAAGCCATAATTCTGATCGTAAAACTGGATATCACAGTTCGAATACAACAGTAGCTAAATCTACTTTAGGCATTTGAAGTTGATTGTACGATCAAATTTTGCTAACGAATAGCATGTTGTGTGCTTCTGTACAAGGGCATGTACTTAGCTGCAAAGCGCTGTCATTATAACATTGAAATGATGTTCGGATTTCGTGTGAATGATTATGTATTTGTTCACAGATTTAACACTCACGAAATCAATCTCTTCCAGAGTACAGAGCGGTACCCTACATAACACAAGTGTATTGATACCTTAGGGAACGCCACCGCTGGTTGAGATTGCCGTGAAATAGTTATTTTATTAAACGATTTCCGCGGAAGTTCGGAACCAGAAAAAGAAGCTATTTTCCTTCAAGTCCATTATATGAAGTATATCAATGCTTGATTCAAGTATGGACTATTGAAGGTAACACACATCGGTTCCATTAGCTATAGTATAGAAACGAGTATTATTTCCCGAGTTGGTTTTCATGTTTATTGCATCGTTGTGAAATGATCAAAGTTTGTAACAGCTGTGTTTTGCTGCTGGCAGGAGAGCAACATCATATATAAACCCAGTATTATTGTTTCCGTGGTTGATATTGCGAGGTTGGCGGTATTTTGTTTTCGGTGGGTAATTTTACTTCGTTTATTGGTCTTGTCTCCGATGTGTTTGTTTACGGTGTTATTTGTAATGATATTGTAGTTTTTCAGTGTTTTTAATATCGGTGTTGTTTTCAGTGTTGTTGATAGTAGTGGTTTGTGTCCGTTGTTGTTAAAAGTGGTGTTTTAATGTTATTAGTTGTGTTATTATTTCCGGTGTTGTATTTAGTTGTATTGTTATTTCCGGTGTTGTTTCACTGTTTCTGGTGTTGTTTTTTGTTGTGTTGTTGTTTAAGTGATGTTTATAGTTGTTATATTGTTTCTGGTTATGTAGTGATGTTGTTTGCAATGATGTTCTTAGGGATGG